AATTAGCTGTTCTTAGAGAACATGTTTGTGTCTCTTCAGAACCGACTAGAGTTGTCTTCTGACTTAATTGAATGTCTAGTGGTAATATATAAGGATGATTTTTTATTTTTGTCAGAAATTTTTTCAATAGTTAAAATGGAAATAGGCTTGGAATGGTTTTAACCTTTTTGCAGTTTATGCATTAATATAAACAAGTCATTTTGCATGAAGCAGTGTTTACTTCTAAACCTCTTCTTTCCTAGAAAGAAGGGTCATTATAATGTTTCTCTGGACATTTGTCAGGTTTAATAAAAATAAGTATTCAAACTGAAGACGAAATAAACAACCAGAAAACAAAGCACCAACATTCCATCTCTGTGTTTGGCATACTAGTTGTTTGCTTACTATGTCACAATACAGAACCAATTGTTGAATACTGAAGAGGTGCTGTTGTATTGTGAAGTATAAATTTAACCTTGAAACAGAAGGGAAAAAAGCAAGCTGTCTTATTCATATGTGAAATATATGATCTATATTAAATAAGATGAATGAAAATGAGTAACTTAAATGTTCCACTTAATATCAGGGTGCATGGTGGTGCTAAAGGATAATCCCTGGTCAGCAAACTACAAGGTCAATGGTTTGAGCCCAGCAGTCGCACCTTGGGAGAAAGCTGAGGCTTTCTCCTCTCTCAAAGATTTGGAAACTTTGATCCTATTTAGATCCTGGAAACTGTAGATAGGGTCGCCGAGTTGGAACAGACTCAATGGCGCTTAACAGCAACACTTAATATCAAAAGACCCCTAGACATGTTCTTGCAAGGCACATAATCTCACATAGATTAAAGATCACATAGGTTGATATTACTAAGCCACTGCTTGTGAGATCATACTCAGGGCTTTTGCACTTCCTGTGTCCTCTGCCTGAAAGCCCCACCTCCCTCCCTGTCCTCATAGAAGTCTTCTGAGATGCTTTGGTTAAGCCATTGCCCCTAAAAGATGTTCTTATATTTAGATTGATTTAAGTGATTCTCTGGCTGATGTCAACAATTGCCACAAAATTGAACTTTTGGGGATTTGACCAATTGACCAATTATATCTACTGATGTGATGCTGTAAGATCAGCACTGGACTGTGAACCACAAGGTCGACACTTAACAACAACAACAACATAAGAAGATGGTAGAGAGATTATTAGAGGCCAGGTGATAGAATACCAAAATTATCAGAGCCCAGGGCATAAAGTCAGAGAGAGAGGGAGAATTTAATATTACTAGATGGTTCTCCAAACAACTTCAACTCTGAGTTTGGAATGATGAATGAGGTCCCAAATAAAGGGATCATTTTTTTTTCCCCATTAAGCTATGCAAGTTGGTTTATGAACTGTAATGTTGGAAAAGAAGGCTTCAAAAAGTTTGTGGAAAAATGGAGTTAAAATACAGTGAAATTTTCCCATGAGCCTTTTGAAGCCCTCTCACATACCATGGACTGCAAGAAGAATGGACAAATCTGTATTGGAGGAAGTACAGCCAGAATGCTCCTTAGAAGAGAAGATAACAAGACTTTGTCTCATGTACTTTGGACATGTTATTAGGAGGGACCAATCCCTGAAAAGGGACATCAAGTCTGCTTAAGTAGGTCAGCAAAAAAGAACCAAATTCCCTGCCATCAAATCAACTCTGATTCATAATGACCCTGTATAGGATTTCTAAAACTATGAATCTTTACATGAACAGACAGCCTCATAGTTCACCAGAAGAGCAGCTGGTGGTTTTGAACTGCCTTGCGGTTAGCAGCCCAACACCTAACCCACAGTGAGGAAGATCCTAAAGGAGATGGATTGACAATGTCTGCAACAATGGGCCAAACTTTGTGAGGATGGCACAGGACCAGGCGACATTTCATTCTGCTATATATGGAGTTGATCTGAGGTGAAGCCAAATCAACGCCATCTGAGAACAATAATACAAGTTGGTACAAACCCTAAGCCCAAGGGTAAAGAACTTTCAACTAGAGACCAATAAGACTAATACTGCCTTGAGCTCCCTGAAGATTGTGGCTGGGACTCAATGATCCTTTTGTCCTAGCAACCAGAATGTGAGAGGGAGGGTATCACAGCACTGCTGTCTAAGCCAAGGCTGAGGCTCTTCTCAGGGACACAGTAAAACAGGAACCCAGAACAACGCTCATGCTGAGACAGTTTTCTTTTCCCCATGGACTGTGTACCACATGGTAGATTGAATCATCTGAATGCGTTTTCCTTTCCCCATAGTAAACCTCATGTGAGAATTTATGTCACATTGATTTCTGAAGTCTAGATGAGAACATTAAATCAGTTATTTTAATACAAATAAAATTCCCAGTTAAATTATCATACCTACAGTCAGGATATCAGTACTTCCTGTCAGAATCAAATCCCATGGCACTAATTGTTGCTGGTCCCCAGTGTGAGTGATCCAGCTGGCAGGGAAAATGTTTGTTGCTTATAGGTAAGAGTTATTTTCAAAGACCATTGCTAGTTGCTTATTAGACTGAGGTCCCTAGGTAATGGTTGCTGTTGTTAGGTGCCGTTGAATCAGTGTTGATTCATAGCAACCTTATGCACAACAGAAGGAAACACTGCCTGGTCCTGTGACAATCTGGTTGTTTTTATTGTTCTAAAGTGCCATCAAGTCAGTTACAACCCATGGTGACCCTATATATAGTTTCCAAGAAGCTGCTGGTCAGTTTGAATCACTGACCTTGTAGTTCAAATTGACTTTGCAGTCCAACTCATTAACCCTCCCTCAGTGCTACACCAAGACTCTGTCAATCTGGTAGTGCTTTACAAATAAATATAGCATTCTCTGCTGACTGTTTCCTAGATCTTTTTCTTCATCATCATATCCATCTTTGTCATCATATTGCCAGTGTTATGTTGTTGTTACTAGGTGCCATCAAGTCGGTTCTGCGTCATGGCGACCCTATGCACAACAGAATGAACCACTGCCTGGTCCCGCACCATTCTCACAATTGTTGTTATGTTTGAGCCCATTTCTGCTGCCACTGTGTCAGTCCATCTCTTTGGGGGTCTTTCTCTTTTGCACTAACCCTCCACTTTACCGAGCATGATGTCCTTCTCCAAGGACTTGTTCCTTCTCATAATATGTCCAGAGTATAAGAGATGAAGTCTCACCATCCTGGCTTTTAATACAGATTTATTTGTTCTTCTGGAAGTTAATGGTACTTTCAATATTCGTCTCCCAACACCATAATTCAAATGCATCAGTTCTTCTCCAGTCTTCCTCTTCAACTTTCACATGCATAAGAGACCATTGAAAATACCATGGCTTAGATTAGGCACACCTTAGTCCTTACACTGATACCTTTGTTCTGGAATACTTTAAAGGGGTCTTATACAGCAAATTTGCCTAATGCAATACCTTGTTTGATTTCATGACTATTGCTTCCAGGAGTGTTTGTGGATCCAAGCAGAATTAAGTCTTTGACAACTTAAATACATTCTCCATTTATCATGTTGTTATTTATTGGTCCAGTTGTGAGGATTTTTTTTTTTTTCTGTACATTGATGTGCAAGTCATACTGAAGGCTGTAGTCTTTGATCTACATCAGTACATATTTTAAGTCCTCCTCACTTTCAGCAAGCAAGGTTGTATCATCTGCATATCACAGGTTGTTAGTGACTCTTCCTCCAATTCTGATGTCACGTTGTTCTTTATATAATCCAGCTTCTCAGATCAAAGACCACAGCCTTTGGTATGGGTTGTGCCTCAATGTAAAGAAAGCAAAAATCCTCACCACTATACCAATAAACAATATCTATATACATGGAGAAAAGATTGAAGTTGTCACAGACTTCATTTTTCTTGGATCAACCATCAGCAGTCATGGAAGCAGCAATCAAGAAATCAAATGATGTATTGCATTAGGCAAATCTGCTGCACAAGACCTCTTTAAAGTGTTGAAGAGCAAAGATGTCAGTCTGAGGACTAAGGTGCGCCTGACCCGAGCCATAATATTTTCAATAACCTCATATGCTTGTGAAAGCTGGACAGTGAATAATGAAGACCGTAGAAGAATTGATACATGTGAGTTATGGTGTAGGAAGAGAACACTGAGAGTACCATGGACTGCCAAAAGAACAAATAGATCTGTGTTGGAAGAAGTGCAACCAGAGTGCTCCTTGGAGGCCAGGATGGTCAGACTTCATCTCTCATACTTCTGACATCTTGTTAAGAGGGACCAATCACTGGAGAAGGATATCAAGTGTGGTAAATTGTAAGGTGGGAGAAAAAGAGGAAGATCCCCAGAGAGATGTATCGGCACACTGGCAGCATCAATGGGCTCAAATGTAGCAACAATTGTGAGATTGGCCTAGGACCCTGCAGTGTTTCATTCTGTTGTGTATAGGGCCACTATGAGTTGGTATCAACTTAATGGCACCTAACAACAACATATATGAAAACTCACTTCAAGGTAAGTTTAAGAGGATAGGTACCTTGTTTTTACTGTTCCTTTCTGATCCTCAAAACAGAAAATGTTTTGTTGTTTGTTCAATGTCCTTGAGTCATTCTGATTCATTATGACCCTGTATAAGATTCCCAAGGAGCAGCTCCTGGGTTTAAACTGCCCACCCTGTGGTTAACAGTCCAGTGCTTATCCTACAGCACCAGACCATCATGTAAAATAGAGTCTAACAAATAGTACATAAAATAATTTATCTTAAAAGTGTGAAAATCACAGGAATCCTGGTGTGGCACTGTGGGTTAATGCACTGGACTGCAAGGTCAGTTTGAACTGCAAGGTCAGCTGGAACAGCTGACCAGCCACTCCTGGAAAACCCTATACAGGGTCGCTATGAGTGGGAACCGACTTGACAGCACTTAACAACAGCAACATTTTGTATGTAAGTAACCACTAAGATTCTAACAGTAATATTCCATATCTTTGATAAATCTAGTTGTGTAATTAAGGATATGAATGTAAATACCTATAACACTGGGAATTTTGTTTCCAAAATAGGATATCCGGCTACATCTTCAATAACCCCTGTAGTTGTAAGCACCTCAACTCGAAACTCCACTTCTCAAAGTGAGTATTGTAAAGCTTTCCTTGTAGAACTCAAAATAGAGGACACATGTTTTACTACAGCTACTGTATTGTTAAGGTTTGTATAATAGACTATATTTTCACTTGTTAGTGAGATCTTGCTTTGTGTTGCTCTGTGGTAATTTGAAACCTGGTGACTATACTTTGATACAACAATCCCTGTAATCTTAAAAATAAGAGTTGGTTTTGTATTATTATATTACATCTTCCATTTGTCAATGGATTTTACAGTAATATTAATCTTCACAATATTCCCAGTGATCTGTGTTAGTAACGAGAACAGAAAAAAAGAAGTAAATCAATGATAGGTTGGCATTAAACACCAACTACAGAGCTTTTGCTTAATATGCCAACTGGTATTCCTGCCCAGGAATATATATTTTCAATTTCAGATTTCCCTAAAGTCACAGAGACTTAAAATTCAGTTCATCCAAGCAAAGTTAAATGACAGCTTTATAAAAAAAGTTATATTCTGAAATTTTCAGCCAGCAATTCCAGTGTGACTACGCAAGGCTTCAACCACTCATGGACCTCCAGGGGAAAAGATGATGAGCAAAGTAAGTATAACAGTCAGTTTTTCGCTTTCAAACCTCAGTCTGACTGAATATATAATCAACAAAACAATATATAATTCACAAGGGATGAAAACATTATGTCAGAAATATATAATCAAATTCTACAAGTCAATAGGAATGAAAATACAAAAACAATAGAAAATGAGTGAAAACGTACAACATGAAACATGGAGCCAAAGAGGCTAGAAAACATATGAGGAGGTACTCATCCCCTCTAACAATTAAGAAATACACATGAAGACTAGAATCAGGTAACCACTTTAGCCTTAACTGGCAACGCTTAAGAACTCTAATATATTGCCAAGTGTATCTGGATAGGCTGTAGCTCCACATGAGTTTTTAGTATGGTGCTGGTGGGAGTATACATTGGTACCTGCACATTGTCATATGTTTTAAAGTTGAACATTTACATACCCCACAATCCAAGAATTCTATAACTACATATATACCCAAGAAAAAATGTTAGTACTTTATAGGAGATGATGGTTGTGGTGGTATGCCATGGAGTCACTTCCAACTCATAGTGACCCTGTATAGGGTTTCTGAGGCTGTAAATCTTTATGGGAGCAGAAAGTCTCATCTTTCTCCCACAGATGAGGTAGTTTCGAACTGCTGACCTTGAGGTTAGCAGCCCAACTCACAATCACTATGCTACCAGACCTCCTTATATAGGAGATAGGTATACAATATTTTGGATGAAAAAAACAACACTGCTAATAATAACAAAAACTGGAGATAATCTAAATGATCCTATTTAAGACGATAGGTAAATAAATTTTAGTATCCTCATATAATGAAATGTACAACAATTAAAAAAAAGGAATGATTCAGCAAGAATGATTCCTAGTAAAATTGTCTTGAGTCAAAAAAGCAAATATGCATGTGGCATGCATATTTTTATAACATATAAAAACATGTACAACCTAACACTATATGGATTAGACATATGCGTAATATTTTAAAGAATATACATATCAGTAAACCAATTATAAATACAACATTCAGGACAGCAATTGTCTTTGATGGGACTACAAAAGATAGGCTAGAGATAAGACAATCATAGTGTTATCTTTAACAACCCAAAACTGTGTGGGTGAGTGGAGGTGAGGCGGTGTGGAAAAATATCTTCAGTCAGAGGAAAATGTGAAATATAATTGGATAGTAACTCAGCGAAATATTATTTAGTCAAAACTATACCCTTCACACAATAAACTACCTAGCACATATTATTATATAACATGAGCTAGACCATTTTTGTCAATCAGATATAAATGGGGAATAAAAACATTAGATCGTGGATGAAAGTCCAGATTTACAGATTTAGCCTATACAGTGTTACTACAAAACAGTAATAAACTATCCTGAAAGCCTTTATTTTACCTACCGTAGTTGTTGGTCATTCTTTATTCTTGAGACAATAATACAAGCAAGTAAGTTCCAAGAATTTGTTTGTTTGTTTACTTTTAGTCCCAGTGGCTCATGTAATATCTGGTGTATTGTTGTTGCTGTTGTGAAATGCCATCAAGTCGATTCCAACCCATACTGACCCTGTATAGGATTTCCGAGGAGCAGCTGGTGAGCTTGAACTGCCGACCTTGCAGTTCAAACGGCTTTGCAGTCTGGCGCATTAATCCACAGCATCACACCAGGACTCCTGGTGTATAGTTAGTACTTAACAAACATTTTTAATAGGTACATGATTTAATGTTTGTTGGGTTTATGGGGAAAATATTCTAGCAATGGATATAAATGTTTAGTGGATAAAGTTATAGGAAAAATTAACTGAACTCCAAGTTAAATTTATGCTGTGATTATAATCATATACATGTTACATGTTTTAATTCTCAGCAAAACATATATCAGTATCTGATGGTTTCCTTTATTTTTAATTTGATTGTATATTGAAATTACGTTAAAATTTAAGATATATAAGAACAGGAACCTAAACGTTTTTCTTTCTTTTTCTCTGTTATATTCTAATAGCAATTAAACAGATCACCTGTTTTCATTGTGTGTGTGTTGTGTTTTCTTCCTTGTCCTTGCCTGTGTAAAAGAAGCAGGCATATAGTCGATAAGGATATGGAAAAAAAATCTCAACACACACACACAATGAAAACAGGTGATCTATTTCATTGTGAATTTTGACCTTTTTAATTATTTATTTTGTTTAAACTGCCACCACAAAATTATGTTCCAGGAATCCTCTGCATCAGTATGAATCATGAGAGCTCACCCAAGATTCGATCTGCCCCAAGAAACTGGGAAACTGAGAGCATCTTATTTAAAAAGTACACACATAGACTCTTGGCCTTTTCAGTAGATTTCATAGAAAAATGAACTCATATTTTATGTCCTCCGCCATATGAGAACTTCATTTATCCTCTAACATCTCTAACATCTCTTTGTCATTCTTACAAAAATTACACCCTTAGATTACGACATCCAGGAGGGCTCTAAAACCAAAAAGAAATTATTATTATTATTTGTCAGTATTATAGACCCACATTCTTATGCAGGAATAAAAACTAGTTCTTGTTAACTGTTAACTAGTCATCATTTTTATCTATATACTTAGAGGAAAAATCCCCTGTAGTAGTTGCTCTATTTGTTATCATTCACAAAAGCATGTAGGAGTCTAACAAGTCAATGTTGATTGCTTACTCCCAAACTGTTTGTGAAACATGTTTCTACTCTTTGGATTGGACTGAAGTGTGACAGCAACATTAGACTATGTATTTGGCAAGATTAATGACAGGCATCAGTAATGGAGTTGTTTTATTCTCCCAATATGTTTATTTCAGAGATTTATAAAGTGTTCAGAAGCAGAAAAATGATAATGGATGGCTTTCTAGTGAAATAAACCCAGTAGCGGTGTTTCTAGGGCCCTTGGTATTTGCGACCATGCTCTATGGTTTATTTGGTTTATGCCTCCATTTTGTCTAGCATTTTCTATAGGGATTCTGATTAGTGGCTGATGGGTTTGAACCACCTTGTGGTTAGCAATAAAGAGCTTATCCTACAGCACCACATCAGTTTCATCATCACTAGCTTTAGTGGTGTAGTACTGTGGGTTAATGCACTGGATTGCAAAGTGGTTTTGAACCACAAGGTTGGCAGTTCAAGCTCACCACTTGCTCCTCAGAAACCCTATACAGGGTCACTATGGGTCGGAAGCAACTTGAAGGCACTTAACAACAACAACAACTTTAGTAGTTGGTGCATAAATTTGAATAATAGTGATATTAACTGGTCATCATTGTAGATGTCTGGATAGTAAAAATTACTTCAAGATAGATCTTGAAATGCTCTTTTTGATAATGAATGTGACGTCATTCTTCTTCTATTTGTCATTCCGGGTATAATAAACCATACAATTGTCCAATTTAAAATGGTCAATACCAGTTCATTTCAGTTTTCCTAGATGCATACTTCATACATTTCACTTTGCAATTATTAATGAATGTTTGCAGCTGGCAAATGAAATACCAGTTCATTTTAGTTTTCCTAGATTCATACTTCATACATTTCACTTTTCAATTATTAATGAATGTTTGCATCAGCAAATCACAGTCCTGAAAGCTTTGCTCCTTCTACATCATGAAGTTCAATTCTGCTTTGGGGTGGCAGCACTTCCACATCATATTTATAATAAAATTCACAAAGTTATGGAGTTAGAAAACCAAAAGGTGACTAGATGAGTCTAGTGAAGGGATATGGGGATAGGATTCTTTTGACTGAATAGTGAGTAATTGTTATCATGACTAATTGTGATGGTCATAACTGTAAATATAGAAGTTGCATTAACAAAAGGGTGGAATAGTTAATTTTATATTCCAGGAACAGAGGACCCTAGGAACATCAAGAGGGACAAGCATGAGTGGAACGTGACAATACAGACAGAGATAGAGGTGATGGCATGGAGAGATAGAGCAGCTGAGGACTCTAGACACATGGAAAGAGAAAGCCTGTGTGCTGGTGGGCAGGGGGCTGGCTTTCAAAATGTGCCCTTGGTTGTTTAAACAATCATATATTCCTGTATGGTTTTGTGTACATTAAAAAAAAAAAAAAGTAGGAATAGAGGCAAATACTGTTGACCATGTAATCATTGCAATGAAACAAAATGCAATTGGTTGAGTGTAGAATTGATGTTCTGCCATGTAAACTATCACTCAATTCACAATAAAAGCTTTAAAAAAAGGGGTGGGGGACACACACGTAATATTTCTCAAGCTGAAAATACTAAAAAAAGAATTCAAGTCTTGAGTTGTGATATTGGACACTGTGGGTTAATGCACTGGACTGAAATGTCAGCTTGAACCACAAGGTTGACGGTTCAAGTTCACCAGCCACTCCTTGGAAGCCCTATACATGGTCCTATGGGATGAAACCAACTTGACGGCACTTAACAACAACAGCAACAACAATGGGCAAATTATTGAATGATACAGGAAGCATCAAAAGAACATGGAAAGAATACGCAAAGGCACTGTACCAAGAGGAATTGGTTAAGGCTAAATCATTTCAAGAGGTAGCATATGATCAAGAACCAATAGCATTGAAGGAAGAAGTTCAAGTTGCACTGATGGCATTGGCAAAGAACAAAGCTATGAAATTGGATGGAATACAAATTGAAATCTTTCAACAAACTGATGAGGCACTGGAGGCACTCACTCGTCTATGCCAAGAAATTTGGAAGACTACTACCTGGTCAACTGACTGGAAGAGATCCATATTTGTGTCCATTTCAAAGAAAGGTGGCCCAACAGAACAAGGAAATCATTGAACAATATCATTAGTATCATATGCAAGTAAATTTTTGTTGAAGATAACTCAAAAGTAGTTGCAGTAGTATATTAATGGAAAACTTCCAGAAATTCAAATCAGATTCAGAAGAGGACACGGAATAAGTGATATAATTGCTAAAGTCAGGTGGCTCTTGACTAAAGGCAGAGAATACCAGAAAGACCTTTACTTGTGCTTTA